CTTGTTAATATTCTTTCCTATCTGTGGCATTCGCAAAGATCAAATACTTCAATTAGTAACTGAAAAATTCCTGCCAAATTTTTTCTTCAAAATATTTGAATTAATTAATTCATTAATTTACTTACAAAAATAGAGTATCAATTTATGTAGTAATTTAAGCGTTAACAAACAGAATGCAACAGTTGACAGCTCTGAGAATGTTTGCTTTTGCTAAGCTAATGGCAGCTTTTGTTGAAAAGTGCTTGCATATGCTTCAATAATTATGTCCATTAAATGCATAGCAGAGCTATAATGTGGAATATAGGCAGCTTATGACTGAATCAACGAATATTTTGTTTTCATTTCATACAGTAATATTGACATATTAAGTTATATTTCTCCATCACTGATTGCATGCATTTTTATTTTTTCCATTGTTTTGTTGCTAAAAGTTTCTCACAACACACAGCAATTTCCTATTAATTCAGCGATAATTTATACTGCAAATTATCATAGAATTTTTTAGTTTTGAAAAGTTTCAATCTTGGCAATAGTTGTGATAATAATCACTCTAAAATGCTTTCGGTATTTTGTTCTTGTCTTTCCTCCTTTTCTCCATTTACGATCATCTCGTAACATCTTGACATGCTGTGGAATCAAATAGTGTAATGGATGCACTTATGCTATTTAATTGCATAATTTTGAGTGCATCTTGACTGTCATGCCAGAGTTATTAATTTAATCATTACATTCATATTTCCAGAGTAGTTTTTAGTTCGTACTTGAGGAAAGAATATACGAATTTCTACAAAGATTTGTTTCGAAGGAATTCAGCGCTTTAAAGCATTTTTTCTCTCTTTTTGTATGGAGTTTATTCTTAAAGTGTTGTAGCTGTAGTAAAAGTAAGAAGCATAATTTATATTGAGATTTAGCAGGTCGTTACATGTCGCGATAATGTAATATCGTACCTTTATTTTTTTTTCGTATCTAAAATTTGTGTTGTGGAAATTGAATTGCTTGTATTTCTTGACAGATTTAAAAGCGCTGTGGCTGTCTACAATCTCGTGCTTTAAGAAAAGTCAACAAAATATTCCTATATTGAAACTTTATTAAGAATCGGTGATAATCAGAAGGGTGTTGTATTTTAAGATATACCCTTTGCGCTCAATATTTTTTTCATTTCAACGCTTACTACTAATTAGTCATCTTTGCGAATCATTAAAGGTGATCAACAATTGCTCCAGTCAAGAGAGCATGTCATCAACATCGTCTGGTAGTTATGGTACTACAATAACAGCCATGAAATCAACTGTAAATGATTCTATGCATAGTTCCTATATGATTGCTGCTAAATCATCAGAAATTATGCCAACAACAAGTACTGCAAGACATTTTGCTACATCTGATGAAGATAATTGTAATGGAAATAGTCGTAGTAATATACGTGGTAAAGATAACGGTACCACACCAATGGATTCAGCACCATCATCTTCATCAGCATCAACATCATCATCATTATCATCTTCATCATCAACATCATCCGCAAAAGCTAATCTTAGCAATGGATTAGGTACAAGTGGAGTGATTCCAATCATTGAAAGCAATAATGGTATTACTGGGAAGGGCATGGAAGATTTAGGCCCTGTATCAAGGGATCGATGTAATACTTGGCCTATGCGACGAGCACAACTTGATATCAACGTTCAGACCAGTCCGTTAATCCATGAGCAAATTTTGGAAGAGGAAACAGAGTAAGTCATTACTACAATTTTTGTTCATTTCCTTTGCTTTCTAATTTCACGTAAATGTTTCCAATTGCAGTTTGCATTAAAGTAGCTCTCTTTCAGTAGTTCTTGTGCATTTGTAAAAGGAAATAGTTGTTGTCATTATTAACAGTCATATTTACTTATAGTTGAAATATATAATCGTTTTATATTACAATTGTGAAATTTTGTTATTTTTTGGCTGCTATCATTAATACCATTCATTGATACGAGTAAAGTAATTTTTTCTAAAACATGAAATCAAATGTTTAGACTTTTTACCATAATTCTGTTCAATTTGATTATTAAGTTATCATATTGTTAATCAAACATCTAAAGGGTCTTGAAAGTAATTTTCATACTTATTATCTTCACGAAAATTTAATCACATATTCAAAGAAGAAGAAATATCCTTTTATCAACTGTTGGCATTAACAATTATAATTACAGAATCAAATAATTATTATTACATTCAACATTTTTTTTGCATTGTTATTGCTATCAAATCACTCTTTCAAGCATTAATGATAAGAATTTTTTATGTGCACACTATAAAAATGATTACATTTATGCTATGATAAGCAGTCTTAAAAGTAATCATTTTTAGAAAAATTCTGATAGACTAATTACAATTATGTTTTTAATGGAAATTACGGTATACGAAGTGTAATTTTAAACGAGCAAAGTAATTTTGTTTGATTTATTTCAGTTTCATTGCATTAATACAATTTTTATTTCGTTCCTTACTTTTTTGCACGCATAAGTTTTTATATGAGAAATGCAATCATATCTTATACGTATCAAACGCCATTTTTGGTGGGAAATTCTTTCCTTTTTGTATTTTCTTTGCTTTGTTCTCAGCTGAATGATTACTTATCAGAAGTGTTATCTTTGCTTTGTATCCATCAGAATATATTCACACATTCACTTGTGCATATCAATCTCTTACAGTAATGTTTCCTTGTTTAACCTTTCCATTGCATCACTGGGAATTTTTATTTTTTTTCTTATGCTAAATGCATATTTTGTCAATTCTTTTGCAAGTAATATTCATTAAGTTATATGATAAGGAATGAAAATTTTGTCAAATTTGCATCTGCAATTTCCAGTTTATCATAAATTTTGCGCCGTATAGGAAGATAACATTAAATATTAGCATTTAAGCATTTCTAAAAAGTTTTTTTCTCCTTTTTTAACTGAAACTCGTAATGTAACATTCAAACTTATCGAATTTATTTTCCAAACATCTCATTATTGCGTGTATTAGTAAAAATTATGCATGAAGAATGGATACGTCCTCAATAAATGGCATTTTCACTAATTGGCAAGTGTAATCTAATCTTTGGAGTTTCAGTAGTTTATTTTTGAAATAAATAAGTTGGTTACTTACACTAAGCTTAAGTAATTTCGTTTTCTTGCTTTAAAATTGTCAAATTGTTGTTTTAATAAAATTGGTGTGATAATATATAACTATGTTAGTGAAAAATGAGCATTCAAATGTGACAGCTTAGTTTGAAATATCTTGAAATTGCTGCATTTTGTTGAATCAATGTCATATTGCGCTTGCTATTCAAATGGGAAACTTTTTTTTCCGCCTTTCACCTTTCACCTTTTGCCACACTTATAATTCTGGCAAAGTAAAGTTATTCAACGGAAATGATTTCATCGGATTGATAGTAGGTGTGCTATTGGGAGGAGGGAGAGGAAGGGCTTATTTATTTCGTATTTTTCAACCATTTCCCTAACAATCACATTCATTGCAGATAGTTTCTGATAATTCAGATTCACTGTAAGTATATTGATTTGATCCTTCTCTCCTCTTACTGTAACTTTTTAATTTAGTTAATTATTATTATTAATGCAAACTGTTTTGATTGATATTATTGTTCTGGAATGCTTTTGGTAGATACAGAAATTACTGTATTCACATACATCAACAAGTACTATCATGCATCAAAACTTAGTTTCTAATTCATCTTTTTTAGCTCTTTTACATTACAAATATTTTTTGTTCTCAATCATTAGCGAAGTTAAAGTTATTCAATATAAATAGTGGCAAGTGTTTGCCTAATTGTTTTTGAGTATAATAATTGATATCATTTACATTAGAAGATAATTTTTTTCCTGTAATAAGTTTGGAATGAATTCATGACTCTGTGCTGGTCTTTCTAACTCTAACTCTAGACGTGTTGAGTTTACGTAATACTTCAGGTAAATATTAATAATTCTGTGATAACTTTTCAAATACTTTTACTGTTTGATCACTTTTAATATAGAAGAAATCATCTTTAAAATACTTGTGTGAGTATTCTTTCAGTTTACATTTACATTTTTTATTTTAATCCATTCACTTTTTTATAAAAGAATATCACTAAAATCTTCAAGGTACCATATAGCGCATTATTATAATCGCAAAATAACTTTTATGTGAATCGATAATATCTGGTGCGTTTTTTATTATTTATTATACAGTTTGAGTATTGTAGAATTTGTCAAAGTTCTGTGGAGTATTACAAATTAATTTCAAAAAATATTTCATCTTTCTGTACTAATTGCATAAAGAGTTTGTTGAGGTCATAATCAGAAGCATTCAAAATAGGGCATATTGATTTGACGAAAATCCTAAAATAATATGGAATTTGAAAATTAAAAAAATTTTTAGTTAGCATACAAGTATTATTTTTTACTTAAAAAAATAATTAAAATAAAATTTATCATATGAAAATTAATAATTTTACAGCTTATATGATAGTGTGGAGAAATTAAGCAGTACCCGTTTGGACACCAATTCAACAGCTTTATTAATGGGTTCACCTGAAAGTGGCGCCTTTTCACCTGGGTATGTAAAGTTTATGCTATCAGAGGTCAATTACTGCTATTGAGAGGTGAATCGCTGAATTGTAGAACAATGTAAAGTTAAAGAAAAGAAGCTAATTTTATAGTATATCATCACCAATTCCGTGCGGGGCAAGTTCAGCAGGTGCCATTGGCACATCTACCACTCCATCGGATACATCTGATTCGGGTATCACCACGGCGTCTAGTAAAAAGTCGACAACGCGTAGAAATGCCTGGGGCAATATGTCTTATGCAGATCTCATCACGCAAGCAATCGTTAGCTCACCAGAGAAACGATTAACTCTTTCACAAGGTACAAATATATATACATATATATATTATATATGCATATGCATGTTAATCATGAATGAAGCGTCTTTTACAATTTTTACAATACAGAAAATTTTCTAATTCACGCAAGTAATTAAATATATTTTGTAGTGTACGAATGGATGGTACAAAATGTTCCATACTTTAGAGATAAAGGTGATTCCAACAGTTCAGCTGGTTGGAAGGTTATATTTTCAGTTTACTTCTGTAAAATTATTTACCAAATTTCACAGAATTGATTACTTTTATTGTAGATGAAAATTTATATGATAGCATGATATCAAGTAAATAATGAGTTAGATGTAGAATTTAGTTTTTGATCTAATGAGTTTAGATTGGAATTCGAGACGAATTTTGCGTCAGCTGCTTTTTTTAATTTTAGTAATTAATTAATAAATTAATTAACTATATAATAGTTGCTCAACAGTATATATTTGATCTCAAGAGTTAGTCTGCCGCATCGTAGTCTGATAGATCATTTTCAGAACTCATTTCAGTCATAGTTTGACGTTTGATCAATGATGTTTGATGTATTATTGAAGTAGACAGACTTACAGTGGAAAAGTATTAAATCTAGCATAGTTTTTTCCTGCAAAACACATGATAAGTGTATATTTCTGATGCTAGTTGGTTACTAATTCAAGTCTGTTGCGCTCCCTGAAATACTTACTGGCAGCTGATGTGTAACGAAAAGTTGCGTTTAGTACAAGGGATTGATATTAAATTGATTTGCTAAAAATAAAAATAGCTATAGCTGTAATCATTTGATAAATTTTTCGGGTCAAAACAGACACTTTTTGTCATTACGTAACGAAATATTTTTGAACGCAAAAATTATTAGAATATAACTTTTAATTATATTCTTAGAAATAAGTTTAATTTATCAAATATTGTAAGTGAATAAAGTATTAGTGGATACGCGAATAGCAATATCAGTTAGAGGAAATAAAAAGTAATGCATCCATTCATAAGATAGTTTGCAGTTTAGTTTTTACAACTTTTTCCAAGACGGCAAATTATTACCAAAACTGCTTGGGATAGAAATGAAAGATAAATGTTCGAAGCTTTCTTGCAAACAGCTACACTTGTTATTATATCACTGCGATAAAAAGTTGTAGACGAAAAGGCAGTACTAGTACTGGCAGTAAGTAGCAGTAGTATAGAAGTATAGTAGTAGTAGTAGTAGTAGAAGTAGTAGTAGTAGTAGTAGAAGTGGAAGTAGTAGAAGTAGAAGTAGAAGTCGTAGTAGTAGCAAAGATAACTATCAATGATAACATAACAGTGCAAATTTGTAATCAAATTGCAGCTTTTGTGGGTGATCTAATTGGCATGCAGAAGCAGTGTTATCATTGTGAAAGTCTGTCTAATTTTTGTTAATATTAAAAAGTGGGTGCTTGTGCTTGTGCTTGTATGCAGAAGAGAGAGCAAATCGTGTTAGGGGCAAAGGTTGGATGAACCAGTTGTTGTTGTTACATAGAAGTTGCAAAAATTACAACACCAAAACGAGAATTATAAATTTGGTAATGAAAAAAGAAAAGAGACTACTGTACACTCAGATATTATATTATGTATACTTCCGAAGAATCATTGTATTAGTACTGCATAAAATTAAGTATTACATGCATAAAGCAGATTACTGCATAAAGTTAAGTATTACATAAATTATATATAAGTTCATGTAATCATAACTTGATGCTGACCTTAGATTCGGCAAATGATGCAAAAACCTATGGTGAGTGGTGCGGTCATTGTTTTCACTCTGTGTAGTAATGGACGACATTTATTACACAATATCATCCGGTCAACTCTTGTCATTCAGTGACTAACCTTTTGAGTTGTAACACTACCGTTATCAAATACAACGCAACATAATTACTTTCACCTTTCTCATCTGAGGTCATCATCTTTTTTCTTCAGTTATTATTTATGAATCCTTCTTTTAATTTTTTTCTAAAATGTGTCCGAATTTGTTGTCAAACATGTAACTGCAGTGAAAATAGTAGAAAAGCTCAAGTAAGTATCAGTTAATTCTTGACAGATTTTTTGCTATCTTTTCAAGTTTAAAAGAAGGCACAAATCTGGAAGGCATTTAAATGGATATTGACCTCATTGACCCTTTCTTTCTTCTTCTTGCCTCGTTAATTTATTTATCTCTATTTCTTTTCTATCCCTTTTCAATTACCTCAAGTATTGACGTGTATAATCTCTTATCTTCAAAGGTCAGTCTCTTCTTTTCCCTCCATTCCATTTTAGTGTAAATTTATCTGGCACAGTTATTATTAATGAGAGAAACTTGATTGCAAAAAAAAGGGAAAAAATGATTTTCAAGTTTTTTCAAATAGGTGTATTGTATATTAATATGTCGTTATACAAGCGAATGAAATGAAATGGTTTAGCTGAGGATTTGAGCAAGATAAGATATGAACTGTGTTAGCAGCTAAAGTCAGTCATCTAGAGGTCGACTGACCAGAATAGAAGAACAGAATTAAAAAGGGAGTGACCCAGGAAGACACGCTCATCTTGGCACTACCAGGGCGTGAGATAAACACGTCTGTCTCGAGAACTGAACTGACCCTTTATCGGACAAGACAGCCAAGGTCACTCTTTCATCCAAACATTATTGGCTATCCTCGCATCGTGTTCAACGTTTACTTTGGGCTACAGCTTAATATACTTTACATTAATCATAATTTTACTTTATCTGTTAATTATATCACTGTCTATCATACATTTATTTATTCAAAAAACTTCTGCTTTCTATATTGCGATTTTCGCTATGAAAAATTTTAATAACAATTTTTTTTCGCATAATGGAGGATGAAGCAATCAGAAAATTGCTTCAGTCCACAAAATGTTTAACTCAAATTATTAGAATGCTTTACTATATGTAATATTGATTGGTGTTATGGAAGGTAAGAGCTCAGAAAGTAATCTCGACAATTTTTATGAGTATGAGCAAAGATCACGTGCTCATACTTGGCCTGAGCAAAACTTCCAGCAGTTACACCCCATTAGTACAGATTTGATTAGTCGAACTTCTAGTCTTGCTTCTGTATTTTATACAAATGTATATAGTCCGATGACAGTGGAACACATCTCCAATCTTATCCCACGGTATGATTCTGGTGTAAGTTTAGCTACTGCACGTGAATCTACTTTGAATCTCTTTGCTTCATCTACATCTTATAGAGATTTTCAGCAATATCTTCCAAAAAATTTGTATAATGCCCCTAGAATACCATTTCGATCATATAGTGATAATTTAAATATTATACAGAATACAACATGTAATGCTGTAAAATCGGATATTACCTCATCATATCCGTTATTATCACACTTGCTCAATTCAAGTGGTCAGTCATCTATCCTATCAGAAGATGGTAACTATCAAGTTTGTAAAGCAACTTTGCAATTTAATACAAGCAAAGAATTTGATCGCAGTAGTACAAATGTTTCAAATTCATTTGGCAATACGACTACATGCTCAGATATGAAATTAGCAAATACTTTTCGCAAAAGTTTATCAGAATTGCTTCCTACTACATCGATTTCTTCAGCAGTGTCGCATTTTATTCGTACTTCTATTCCCAATTTAATATCTGATACAAAATATATCATTGAATCATCTACTAAGGCAGTACAAGTTATAAATTCATTATCATCTGAAAATGTCACAAATATTGTTATTTCCTCTGCATCTGCAACAATTATTCACTCAACCTCTCCTACACTCACTTCTCAATCTTTAAGTACTATTCTTTCAACAAATTCAAATGTTACAATACCATATTATACTCATGCATCACAATCACCAGTAATGTTAAACACACCAAGCACAACACTATCAAATGGATTTGATGATAGAAAAGAAGTAGGAGATGTTGATGAAGTAGAAGTAGAAGAAGGAGAAGAAAAAAAAGAACGAGAAGGAAAAAAAAACGAAGTCAAGAAAGAAGCGTCAACAAGTACAGTAATTATTGAAGGGACAGAATGTCATCCTGAAGATCCTTTGCAGGATGAAACAAGAAAGAGAAGTAAACGTTGTGCTGCTTCAGGGCTGAAAAAAGCTAATGCATGGGGTGAGGGGAGTTATTCACAATTAATTACTCAAGCGTTAAATTGTGCTCCAAACGGTCGTTTGAAATTAAGCGAAATTTATACTTGGTTCATGTGTAATATTCCATATTTCGGAGCACGTTCAACTCCTCAACTTTCATCTGCTTGGAAGGTTGTTTTTACGTGCAAACAATAATTTACTTGCGCTTATCTGATAATAGCCCTACTGTTGCATTGCTCTATCCCTTTACATCTCATTTTATTACAGCTCTCATCAGTAATATTTGTGCTGAATGATAGATAGATTAATAGTTTTGAACAGATAAAAAAAGAAAAGTGTACTTACATTTTTGCTAGTAATTTTATTTATAGCATTAACTTTAAGACAAAAAAAGTAGAACATTTCATGTCGAATGAGTTAATCCCATTACTATTGCATTAGTTTGCTTTACTTGTCTTTTTCTATCTTCTCATTTCAAACAAAATTTTGTAGTTTAGAATAAAACACATAATTCCTATTTTTATCACCTTTTTGAAAAAAATTTTCACGTTGTTAATAAGTTTGCTTGTTGGTTTTTCAATTAAACAACAATTGAAATTGTAACAATCAATTCTGTGAAATTTGCAGTAGTCGATGATTTCATTCCTTTTTAAATCAATTCATTTCTATTTCATGCTTAATGTAGTTCGAAAGTTTTTTATAGTAAGTACTAAATATCATATGTTAGAAGCATCCATTGAAATTCTTTTTTTAGAATTCAATTCGTCATAATCTTTCCCTACATAATCGTTTTATGCGGGTGCAAAACGAGGGTGCAGGAAAAAGTTCATGGTGGATGATTAATCCTGATGCTAAACCGGGTCGGAATCCACGACGCCAACGATCTGCAACACTAGAATCTACAACTAAAGTATGTCTTTTATTTGAAACTAATACACTCGTTGTTAATATATTGATAATTTTCAAAAATGACTGTTTATAGTGATTACGACTTAATTTTTCAAGATTTTTTCTGAAAAAATTTTTGCAATAATTTTATCATATAAATCATTGGGAAAATCAACTACTACCATCATAATTAATGGTTGGAAGAGGAATTCGTCAATCTTAAATCATTAAAAATCAACTACAGGTAGCGATTGACAAAAAACGTCGTGGTGCTCGTAAAAAAGCCATGGAAATACGTGCAAGAGCGGTCAATAGTAGTTTACTGCACAGTGGCAATAATTCGATCGTTAGTTCACAAGTAATCGTAATTTTAATCATAATTAGCTACTTGCTAAAAAGTTGCACATTCAATGTATGCAAAATATTTGATCTGTTGCAGACATCAGTAGTAAGCCGAGACTTATATGTTGGTGAAGAGGATTCACCTAGTTTTGAGCCTTTCCGGTTAGTATAGATTCCTTTGTCTTCTTATGTTTGAAGAATAAATTTGGGTTAATCAAATGCCGTTTTCATATTATGTTTCTGTGGTTTATAATACAGTGGCAATCGGTTAAAGGAATTTTACACTCAAATTCAAATTCAGTAATGGATTGATTCCTTATTTGATATAAATTCGTCATTATTAAATTTCAAGCGTTTCTATTTGAAAAAAATATGATCGTAATTCAGATAACAATTGTTTTTTTTTCAAGTTTTTTCAGCTCACGTACTCAGTCAAACTTGTCATTACCGGCATCTACATCTCGTGTATCACCATCAATGATGGAAAATTACGAAAACTTTGATAGTTTTGATTTTCCTCCTTTTGTTGAGGCAACTGGTGGCATGCCACATGATATTTTAGATCGCACAAATGAGGTAAGGATTTACGATGTTTAATGTTTTATTTAAATCTTTTTTGTTTTATTAATAAAAAGACTCGAATTTATTTAAAAATCAGTTAATTGTATTTGTTTTCAGATGAATCTGAATCAAGGTGATAGTCCAGCATTTCATAGGCCAATGGCTAACCCTATGTTAAACGGAGTTAGTTCACCAGCATCGTCGAATTTAATGGGACATCTCAAAGCTGATACATCTACCAGGGTATCGTGCCATACCATATTATACCATAATTATTTTTTATTATATTTGAGTGATTATTGACTTTTACATATTTTTGCAATATTTATTCATTCCAACTGCAGAATGAAAATAATGTTCAACCACCACCATCTTATCATGAACTAAATGTTGTACGGAGTGTGCAAAACATTCAGAATCCATTGTTAAGGACACATCTGATTCAAAGTAGGATGCCTGGTCAGCAAGGGTAAGTTGTTTTTTGAAGTAAGCTTGAGCTTATTAATTCAGTCTTGACTTGTTTTTAAAAGTAGTCAAATTCTTGAGTATTGACATAGTACCATTTCATTAACATGACAAATCAAATAGCCTTTGCCAGTCTTAATAATAAAGTTGCATGAACCTTATATTCATTGTAAAAAGCTGACAATTTTTGTGAAATCCACTTTATTCCAAAACTTATGATTTAAACAGTAGCCGCTATTAATAATTTTTTATTCTTATCAAAATTATCCATGTTTTCAGAATTCCATACGGCACTAGTTATTCACCTAGTAGTGGTGACGTGGGTGTATCCAGTTGGATGCATTCAAATATGATTCCAATAACTATTCACCCAAGTATCAGTTGCTCAGCTCAACAACCGTTTAGTGGTAATGGGTCGGCTTTACCCATAGATTTGGAAAATTTGGCACTTCCTGATCAACCTTTAATGGAAGTGGAAAATATGGAAGCCGTTTTACGGCATGAATTATCTCAATCTACTGGTAGTCAGCTCAGTTTTGATAATATTTAAATCTATTATTGATGATGAAAAGATGAGGTTTTCGTAATTTCTTGGTTCAAGTTCTCTTTTGTTTTGATTGTCATGGTTATTTAGATTAGAACTAATAATTGTTAGATACTTGGGATTTGAGAGTGCTCTTTGAAATGGTATACATATAAAAGTAAATGAGGTATCTAAAAGGTATTAATCTAGAAGTTACTGTTTAAGTTTGGAGTACAAAAAATTTAAATGATTTCAAGTACATTATGGATATTATTTGAAGCTTATAAAAAATATTATGCACATTTTTTGTTCGAGAATATTTGAAAATCACGACAATAAAAAAACAAAAGTAGTGTCAAGAATATTTTCAAAATTTTATTTGCAAAAAATGAGTTTTTTCAATTCTTCGTATATCTCATCTTTTCTCTTTCTTTTCAAATGCATGAAACGGGTGATTCAGCTACGCAACGCTTATTTTTGTTACCTAAGCTTTCCTTATAGATATGAAAGTAAATTTTGGTGAATTTGTAATAATTGTCAGTAATAATGCTATCTACACAGCAATGATATAGACAGAAATGAGCGTTGTGTTGTTATAGCAATGTTCATTAATTTCAGCTGTTTTCATTTCATTTTATTTCATTTCATCTATTACACATACCTCAAAAGTTTGACATATTTCTTTACGGGATGGTTTTTATAGTTCACAGTTAGTGAAAATATGTTACATTTTTATATCATTTTACATTTAAAAAGTGATTAATTTTTATGGTGCAATGTGTTGTGAATGTATTTGTGGTAACGACTGATTAATTTTTAAAGGTATTGCTAAACAACTCATCTATTTTTCATCATTTTTACCGGTGATTAAAATTTGAATTTTTATTTGTTGTTTGTGAAAGAAAACTCATTTTGTTAACGTCACAAAATTATAATTGCTTTTGATTAACTCAAAGAATTGTTTGAGAATATGTTTGAATTTCATCGATTCTTGCTGTTCACTTCATAATTCTTTTTTTTGTTGTATTTTTCTCATAAAACATGTACAAATATTTTGTAAGCAATAGTTATATTTTTCATAGAATGCTCTTCTCTCATTTAGTTATAGATAATATCTGTTTAACGTGATATTGAAAGTTGTTTGATTAGAAGTAAAACCTGTAGTTGCATTCCTTCGTTATAGAGATAACAAGTTAAAATCTTTTTTCAAGTAGTACTTTGTCATTAATTTTCCCCTACCTCTTTATTAATTTTTATCTTATCTCTTTAAATCTACTCTTGTATGTCATTAATATATATATATATATATATATATATATAT